TTATCCGTTTTGGATATATTATTTATGAGGTTTTGATTTATGTGCCGTGTATACAGGTGGCGAAGTTGCGTGACTTGAAGACCGACAACAACCAGGTCCTGCTCAAGATGAATCTGGACTCTGGGCACTTTAGTGCGAGCAATCGATACCAATCCCTCAAGGAGAAGGCGGTGGAACTCAGCTTCCTCTTGGATAAGCTCAAGTACCACCACAAGTGCTAAAAGTAGTAGTAACCCACGTCACAGTCGTCTTGTATATCAATTGTATTCCATTCGTGCGTATGTGAGTTAAGTGGATGTCTGTCACAAACCCGGTATTCGATGTGGGGGAGTGATGTAAAAATGTGAAGTGATAGATTAAGACTTAGGCGATCTGTCGGAACTGAGCTATGCCTTTGTAGAACAGATCCGTAGGGTTTGGGAGATCAGCCTTCAATGGTGAGCCTTCTGTCTAACTTGAGTGGAATATGGATGTAGATGTAGTGCGTTGCGGATGTAGGAAAAAGGGTGCATTGATGGAAGAAGGTGTGTCGTTGCATGTAAACGCTGGCCGTTGAAGATGGACCTCCAACCATGTCTTGGTCTTGTAGTTGTAGAGTCCGGGTCTTCAACCATGCTCTTTGCGTACGTCATGACATTCCCCCCCATGTCCTAGCGGCCGGCAATAGCCACCGGATCGAGATTGATTCCAGGTATTTTCGACGATCGATGATGACGATGCCGTTTGGACGTACTGCAATGATCTTGAATGGGCCAACACTGGCCGGTAGCGGTTTGCTTTGCAGTGTGGTGGACATGTTGATTCGGACTTTTTCGCCTGGGTTGAACGTGTGTTCGATTCGCGTTTGGTTTTCTCTGTTGTTGTCTCGTTTGATGCGTTTGATGTTCTTGTTGTGAACGGCTAACCAGTCGGTGGAGTGAGCGAAGTCAAAGAACATGTTGCGCCCACATGCTGCGGTTCCAGGTGATAACTGCGTCGTGCTGTGGAAGGATGCTCGGGTAGCAAAGACTACGTTGGAACAAAACTCCTCCCATTCTTCGATCGATTGGAATGTTTGGGTTCGCATCTTGTTTCCGATGACAAGATGGATGCGTTCCACAATGGCGTTCGCTGTTGGGTTCTTTGTTGTGGTTGGGACGGGTTGTACCCCATATGAGTCTAGCAACTCCAAGAATTCAAGTTTGAATTCGGAACCTTGGTCAAAGATGCATTGGCGTGGGCGAGGGTACCGGCAAAACCATAGCCGCTCGAGATGTTGTGCTGTCTCGATGCTTGTTGTGTGGGTCACGTTTGTCATTTCTAGCAGTCTTGTGGTTGTGTCGATGATTGTGAGTGCTCGGAGGTTGAGTGGGACAAAAGGTCCGATGGAATCGACTGCGATTTCGAACCATGGGTGAGTTTCCTTGGTTTTGATTGGTATATTCCCATACTTTTTGTTGGACTTCTTCTGTTTGCACGCCACGCAGTTCTTGGTGAAGCGTTCCACTTCGTTATCCATGCGTGGCCAGTGAAAGACTTCTCGCAATGTTGATGCGAGGATGTTGTTTCCAGGGTGCAGTAGCCACTCGTGGTAGGTTGCGAGTATTGGTTGACGTAGGTCCTTGGGGACCAGCATTCGCCCTTTTTTGTCGAACTGGATTTGTATCCCGCTGATTTCTTTGGTGTATGCCGCCTTGAGGGAGTTGTCCATTGCTTGGAACTTTGCGATGGTTGCTAGGTCCAGGTTGAACAAGTTGTCCGTGTTGAGGTCCAATGTGGCTGCCCAGATGTCTTCGTTTCCGTGTCCTTCACCGATGGGCAGTCGCGATAGCGCGTCGGCCACCACGTTCTTGCTTCCGTCGATGTGTACCACTTTGGGTGCAAATTCCTCGATCTTCAGGCGCCATCGTAGCATGGTTGGGTCGGAGAATTGATCATGCACGAAGTTGAGATGGTCGGTGTAGATGGTAATGATTCGACCAAGGAGGATGGTTCGGAATTCTCGGAGGATTTCCAAGATAGATAGCAGCTCAAGCTTGTTTGCGGCGTATAGTTGTTGGGACTGGGACAGTTTTTTTTACCACAAGGCGATTGGGATGCCATTTTGGGATATAACTGCTCCCAGTTGATACTTGGAGGCGTCCGTGTGGATGTCGAAGGGTAATTCGAAGTCGGGGTATGCCAGCATGGTTGCTTGGGCTACCATGTTTTTGATCGCGGCAAAGGCTTGCTGGGCTTTTGTCCGACGTCATCTTGGTTAGTGGGGCGCTCAAGTGTGCTCGTTTCGGCCACAGGTCGCGATAGTAGTTGACCATTCCGATGAATCGTCGCAGTTCCTTCCGTGATTTGGGTGGTAGGATGTTCGCGATCGCTTTGACCTTCTTGGTTTGGGGACAAATCCCCTCTTTGGTCAGGTCGAACCCCAGGTACTCGATGGTCTCGGCACAGAACTTGGATTTGCGTCCGTGGGCCACGATCCCGAACTTGATTAATCGTTTGAGTACGATTCCTAAATGCCCCATGTGCTCTTCGAAGGAGTTGGACACAACCAGTAGGTCATCGAGGTAGCACTTGACAAACGCCAGGTCCCCCACCACCAAGTTCATTGCGTACTGGAACTCGTCTGGTGGGCAAACAATGCCCATGGGCAACCGAAAGT